CATTAATTTATAATGTATCTCAAACTACTACCAGCGGAAATGCTTTTCATAAAAATGGGCAAAAATAAAATGCGCATGACATGAAGAAATAAATACATTGTAACATTTGCTACTACGTATTGTAAGAAATGCAGGTAATTTGTAATTTTCATCTTTTGTTCATAGGACTGTAGAAAAAGATTTTTTTTCCTTTAACTTTAATTGGGGTTTTTAAAAATGTCAGCACTGCACAAACATTATAAGGCTGACATACCTAACAATAAGTGTATTTTTTCATATCTAGTGGAACATTAACTATAAATGCAGAGCAGTGTGTGTGTGTGTGTATATCTATATATATATATAGATATACACACACACACAAATTTTTTCTATGTGTAACTATAAACAATGCCTGTGATTTCACTTGTCAATGTCTTTGTGCTAATCAGAGTAGATAATCAATGAGTTGCTCTGTACCTTGTGATCACTATGGCAAATCACAGCAATCATAAGTGTTAGGGATGCATCGATACCGATACTCGTACTCGCCCAAATGCTCCGATCTTCACTCACAATACTGGAACTTCCGGTCAGGGGGAGCCGGCTTCCCAGCCAATCAGCATCAAGCCAGCCAAACAGCATGGAGGCGGCTTTCCGACACGCTTCCTGATTGGGCAGGAAGCCGGCTTCATGCTAGCGGAAGTATGGTAGCCGTACTCGGTATCAGCGTGTACCGAAAGATAAATATCAGTACTCGATACCGAAAATGCGGTATCGGTGCATCCCTAATAAGTGTAAACACGGACTACAAACAGCAGCTATCTTTTTCCTTCCTGTAACCTATACAGACCCATTGTGAGAGAAACAGGAGGGCTAGGTGATGATCATGACCGGTGTTACAGTGTACAAATAACATGAACACAGCCAGTGCTTCTAGTTTGACGTTCACAACCAGCACCAGTTTTTTACAGTTTGCTGATCACAGCCACCGTTTGCCTTTTCACCTTGGGGTGTCTGCTTTCCAAATTTCAAGTGTTGTAGTTTGTCACCTGTTTGTTCTCACAGTACAGATAAAATCCTGTGCGTGCTGGTGATTCCTTTAATCTGTATTGCTTTCCAAGTTTTTGGTCATTTTGTGGGTTCTACTGTTTTGGCACATCAGGCCCTCCAAAAATATGATAGGTAGTGAGGAAATCAGATGCTTAATTTATTCCCCCCCTTGAAAGAATGAAGGTGCTCCTTGGATTTTGAGCCCCCCTTAGGGGCGAGGAAGCTAAAAAGTCACACATGTGGAATCCACTGACACAGGATAAATAGCCGAATGGATTTTGGGGTGTTATGCCAAGTATGCCCATGCTGTGTGCAAGAAAAATATTACATTTCAGCCTTAAAATAAAAGGATACACATTCTAATTTTTATTTACTTTTCTTCAGTTTTCAAAAACATGTGGCAAAAATTAGATTTTCAAAATTCTCACTATGCCTCATACTAAATATCTTGGGGTGCCTACTTCCCAAAAATGAGGGTGTTGGCATTTTAGGGCCTCAAGAAATGTGATAGAAAATCAGGGTTTCTCAATTTCAAATATTTATACCAGTTTGTAGACTCTATTCACGATGCAACATTCACAGAGACTAAATAACATAACATACACTTGGTCTTTTAACAGAGATGTAGTTGAATATATTATTTATTAAATTTATGAAGAAAGACCATTTATTTGAAATGTTTTATGACACTAAGGAAAGGGTTGTTTTTTAAAATTTAATTTCTTCTTTTATGCTTTATTATTATTTGGTTGTTATTAAATACCACCAAAAGAAAGCAGTCTCAAAGGCAGTGTTGCATGACTGAGTAATTGTCAAACTGGTATCGAGGTAGTTAAAAAAACCAAGCATATTTTGGAAATGTAAATTTACAGTTGCATTTTATTTCACAAATTTCAAAAGGTGAACTGCACACGGGAGAAGATGATTATTAGCGATGTACTCACCTTCCTTCTGCACAAACATTCTCCAATTCTTTTTAAAATCCAGTTTTTAAGTTTTTCTCTCTTAAACAGGTGCCTTATCCCTCCTGTTTACTGAGACATCCAGATTGCGCGACCAGGCGCTACTGTTTAGAAATTAGATACTCTAGAATTGACTGGTCAGAGCAGAATTACAAAGTGAGAAACCACGCATTTTTGATTCTAAAAAGGGTTCCTTTTTCTGCTTTAATTGTTGCAACATGATTAAATGTAAATAGTTAGAAAAAATCTACATTACATATACAAGGATCATGTGATAAAACAGGATTTTTGTATTTACACTAAAATCCTTTTTAAAAGAAGAGTATCTTGCAAAAGCAGCCTGAGGGGGAGCACAAAGCAGCAAACACTAAAAGCCCTCCAAAACAACAAATGTACAACTGGGGTAGCTGCCTGTAGGAAACTTACATCTGAAGCTGGAATCAGACAAGGCCTGTACATCCGCGTAGTAGAATTTAGTGAACATAACAAAAGACCTGGTGGCAACCTTGCAAATCTGAGAAACAGATGGCAAATACTGAAAAGCCCAGTAAGTATTCAGAGATAGAATGGATTGCGCATTGACAAGAAAAGTTGGAACTTTTGTCTTTAAAGTAACACTAAACTCAGGAGTAAATTCTTAAAAATGCAATCAAGTACCTTAACTATTAACAAAAATGTATCTTGTCTATCAAAGTATGAAATGTGCCTCTGTGTGTGTTGTAAAGAAGCCACCATTCCAAGTTCACTCTCCTGATGGACTACAATCTCAAGCGGTGGCTACTTTACAATAAAAAGAGAAACCATAAGGAACAAAAATAGTCAAACTCCAGAAGGAAGGATAGTGTCAGCATGAGTTCAGAGATGATCTGAGGATCTAGAACAAAGTAATGCGCAAATGAGATAAATTTTTGTTAATAGTTAAGGTACTTGAAGTGACACTAAAACACAGGAGTTGAACCTTAAAAATACATTCAAGTCTAGAGGCATGAATGATGATCCAATGGGAACAGGTTTCTGGTTTCACAATTCTGCCATGGTCTCCATGTCTTTACGAGATACCAGTGCAGTGACTTCAAGTGTATCATGATTAGTGACTTCAAGTGTATCATGATTAGTACTGGTAACACATGATGCCCAGGAATTGAGAAGCGTGTTAGCTGCTAGATACAAAGTACAGCAGTAAGGGAGGTCTTTACTTTTAAAACATTCTGTAGTACACATCCGAGCAGAAGTGAGCCGTGCAAGGACGACAACAGAGAGACCAATTGGAAGGGTTACAACCTTCTCCATGAACAATTTATGTAGTCATCACAGTACATGTCTGTGTGTAAAAATATACATTACAATTTACACAAATAATTCATAGAAGATGATGCAAAAAAAAAAAAAAGAACGTGGGACTTTTACTGTGCTTGAAAAGAACGGACTTCCATAACCTGTTCTAAACATGTGGGAGAGACAAACCAGAACAGCAAAAAATGCTGTGCTTGAAAACGCTCCAAAATCATTGATTGAATATAAAAGCAATTTATTAAAATTCAAGGTCATTAAATCATTCAATGATTTAATATCAGTATAAAAGGCACTGTGATTCTCTTGGTACACCTTTTAATTTTTGTTATCATGCTTGACTAGACATCAATCAGACTTAGCCACAGTACCATTTCTTCTCTTATTACATAATATTGATGTAGTGCTGAAGAGGATTTAAACAGCATTTCTATTTATGATTTAAATAAAATTACTTTCCATATCAGATCTGAAAATAAAAGTTTTAGGTTAATGAGAACAAACTGCGACACAGAATGCATTTACTTTGCAGACACATTTTAGTCACCTGAAATAAACACACAAAGAAACGAAAAAGGAGTGGATGGACGGACAGACATCTTTCAATTACAAATACATACAAAAGAAGTAAAAAAAAAAAAGAAGGTGTTCAAAACCCTCATACCATACCGAAACATACAGTTAAACACTTTATTATCTAAATAAATACAAAATATTTGTAAAAGAATACTTGTTTTTGAAAGGATTTCTTCTAAAATTCCTGGATCTCTTGTTCATAAGAACTGTAGGGCTAACATTAAGAAATACATCTCCAAAAAGCTGTAAAATATAAAATTCTACCCAATTTAAATATAAAAACAGGCACTTGGATATGCAGCGTAAACCATTTATACATTTCCTCTGGTTATTGCAAAACTAAGAATAAGGCATACTTTGCTTCAAGAAATATATACTTATTGCTTTACATACAGTTTCTATCTGGAAACAAGACAGCAGGACATGACAGGAGAAGAGAAAGCACGCACAGAACAAGTACATTGTTTAGTGGAAGGCCACCACGTTCAAACTGATTATCAAGCAAATTATGTTGCTTTAGACCTTGTTTCTCACACGTTGATGATCAGTAGACAAAAACCCCTAAAGCCAATACAGGTCAATCTACTTATAAATAGGTCTAATACAGTGCATGTGGTTAAACAATAACTGAATGTACCTATTTAAGTGGCCATAATACAACTGCAGTTATAGTGTCCCAAGTGATCTGGAGGTTTGGCTATGGGTAAACAAATTACATTTAAAGGGTCAGTCACCCCAAAATCATTATTTCAGGTCTGGTAGATGTTAGTAATTTGACTGATCCATAAATGTAAAAATACTCTTGCATACTCTGATAGCAAGCTCTCAAGTTCCATAATATGAGCATCTGTCTATTTAGAATGTGCATTTATGTTACTTTTAGGATGAGACAGCAAGAAGAATGAAAGCATTCCTACTGCAAGAGGTGGTTTGATGCTCCATAATGGGAGGGAGAGGCAAAACTTAAAACACACAAGACCACTTTATCACATATAACAAACATTTACCAACAAAGTTCCTTTGTAAAGAACAGTGGTATAGTTTGTGGGACACTGGCATTTTAACAAATGGATGCCTATTCCCAAGGTCAAGTCAAGCCAGACCTTTACATGTATGGGAATCACAACGTAACCAAAGGTTTACATCTTATACACAGTGACAATATTTGCTTTTTCTTGACAATTCTATCAACACAACTCCTCCGAGGATCGTAAACACTTGTTGCCAGCGAAAACTGCTTTGCCATCACAAATTAATTCTGCTTGAAGTTTTATCAATACTTAGCACAGCTGAGGAAAGTCTCATTTTTGTCTCGTCATGTCCACAAAGGCTTTTGATTTTGTTTTTAAAAGTTAGAACGTAACCTTTTATTCTCTTCACGTAGCCTTTCTATCTCCGCAACTAAGTTTTCGTTTATAGAGTATCGTTCAAGAAGCATTTGTATTTCAGTCTGAAAGAGGAGAAAAGCAAACACATAGGGAGAAGTTTACATGTGCACTAAAATGCAGCAAACTACTAATATATTATTTATGTGCAGCTGGTCATTTAAATGTAAAAAAAAAGGGGCCACTTAAGCATAAAACAGCAGCATATTCCACTCATAAAAATAAACACTTTAAAACTTTCAAGACTGGAAATCATTGAACAGCAGACAAGATTTGTTAAAAAGAATTTGAGTAACTTGGGGTTACATGAGCTGGACGAAAACTTTGAATACATTCATATTCATATTTGAAACCATTGGCAACAGGACCAAGAGTACCATAAACACTTAAGGATCAGCTTATGTAAACTTAAAGTGCCACTAAACTCAGGAGTTAAAGGAGAACTATGGGGTTAAGGCTTTTCCCCATAGTTCTCCTTAGGGTAACGGGAGGACACAAACTAGCGTCCTCCCGTCACCCTAGGCTCAGTATACCACAAGCTGTTGCTCGCGGTATACTGAGACGACGCAGCTGAAGCGGATCCCGACAATTATGTCTGGATCCGCCCAGCTGCGTGACTGACAGCTGGCTCTGCCTATCTAGAGGCAGAGCCAGCTGTACCGGCCCCCTCCCCCGTCCGTTCCGCCAGTCAGCGCTGACGGATCGGGGAGGGGGGAATCCAGCCCCTCCCCTGTCAGGGCAGAGAGACCCGTGACAGGATCGAGAGGTGAGCGAACGCCAGTATGTGTTCGCTCACCTCCCTATCTACTGTGCAGACGTGTGACAGTCTCATTGTCACAGGTCGGCTAGAACTAAGAGGAGTGAAAAGTACTCACCTCATAGTTCTCCTTTAAAAAGGTACTTGAATGCATTTTTAAGGTTTAACTAGTAACAAAAATTTAGCTTATTTGTGCATCACTCGGCTGTAGATCCTCAAATCATCTCTGAATTGGTGCCGACACTGTCCTACCTTCTGGAGGCTGTGTGCTTTTGTTCCCCATAGTCCCTGTGTGTGTGTTGTACAGTAGTCACAGCTTGAAGCTCACTCCTGTGATGGACTACAATCTCATATTTAGTTTACTAATTTGTATTGAGATTGTAGTCCATCAGAGGAGTGAGCTTGGAGCGGTGGCTACTTTACAACACACACAGGGACCATGGGGAACAAAAGTAGCCACCCTCCAGAAGGAAGGAGTGTCCGCACCAACTCAGAGATGATTTGCGGATCTGCAGCTGAGTGATACACAAATAAGCTACATTATTGTTAATAGTCAAGATACTTGAATGCATTTCTAAGATTTAACTCCTGAGTTTCATAGCACTTTAAAGAAAACCTGTCATGAGAAAAATAGGGGTCGTCAGTTGCTGACCAGAAAATGCTAGTTGCCTGGATGTTATGCTGACTCTCTACCTTTAAAACTTTTGAAATCACTGTCGTGAAACAAGTATAGAGATCAAGGGAGTTGAAGAAGTGTCAGAAGCCCATACATAGCTTGCTTCGTCCAGGTCAGTTATTTAAACAAATTTAAGCAAGAAAATCAGCATTACAGACAGGCAAATAGCATTTTCAGAAGGAAATCTCAGCAATGGCTACCACCAAAACACCTTACATGTTTCTGAGTTGAAATATAAGTTTTCCCAACAGGTTTTTCTTGTTAGGAGTATACTTCTTAAGGTTGGGTTCCCACCTGGGCGTTCGAACTATGCGCGTATGACGCACGTTTCGGGCCGCGCATTTTTACCGCGATTTGCTGTCCACAGAATGCGCGTCAAACGAGGGCTATCTGGCTGTCTCCTAATGGATACCCGCGGAAATACGCCCCAAACAAGCTCCTTTACTTTGGGCGCAGGGCGTTTTTCAGCGCGTTCCTACATGGGAACCACGCCCATAGGAAATAATGGGATTTCACTTGCTGGGCGTTTTACAGCGCGTCGATCAGCGCTGTAAAACGCCCAGGTGTGAACCAGGCCTAAGACTTCTTAAAATTTAGTGAATTGGAAAAACTATCCACACTAAGCATAAAAAAGAAAAAAAATATTGCTGGACAGAAGCCCCACTTTTTAAAGCAATCATACATAACAAAATACAATTCTTTGCATCAACCTCACACAATGAACTTTCAGTACTGTCTTGTCTACATGCTGTGAACAGAGCTTTTTTGTGGCAGCACAAGCCAATAAAATATTATTAAGTGAAATGCCTACAAGTTACTTAGAAAGCAAAGCATTACAATTTCTTAACAGGTTCTTTCACAGCTGCTAATATTGGCTTTATTAAGACAATACTTTTCACGAACAAATGCTGAGCCAGGAAGTCTTTTTAGTGTTGCTTCCAGAGGCATATTTAATACCGAAATGCATTTTGAAATGGCCCAACATCCAGCGTTTCTTATTCTTACACAATGTTCAAAAAGGAAAAAATAAAACCATTCAGGAGTAATTTTATATTTATTTAAGTCTATATGCTCTATGAACATCATTTCTGTATACATACCGACTGCAAGTGAAATTGTTTAATCATCTCTACTTGTAAATTGACAATGTCTCTATGAGAGGCTTCTCTAGAAAAAGAAAATAAAATCATTATACAGAGGCTGTATGTGAAGTGATGTGCAGGATAGGGTTTAATTCAGCTTTAACAAATGTACCAAGTGGGCAAATACATCTGGGAAAGGTTTTTGCATGCAACTCATATGACTCAGGTAAAACAAAAATACTTTATTTCAGGGGAAACAGTTTAGATACACAACAGTTATTAAAAGGTAACAAGCAAAACAGAACTTACAAAATAATTAACATAGTCAGCCATATTTGATAGGGGCATACAACTCTTACTAAAAAAGTTTGAGGTTCACTTCTACATCCTTGCATTACAAAAAATAATGAATCTGGGGCACTCACAGGTTTTTTTTGTTCATATCTTGTCTATATTTTGTCATTGCCGTTTCAAACAAAGGCTAAAAAGAATCCTAGCTGTTTTTTTTAACAAAGTTTTGAGTGCCCCGGACTTCCTACTCTTTTAGAAAAGCGTGTTTTTGGAGTGCAACAACACCGAATATAGGAGGTGGTGTAAAAGAAAAAAAAAAAAATTTGAGACATTCCATCATTGCTGAAAAGTTTTACTGCAGCCTACCTCTGTAAACATAATGTCCTAATCCTTTATGATCAGCTTGCAAAGTCAGACAGAACTGGTTTGTACCACATTGCCAAGTTGTTTTGTCTTTCTGTTTTATCCAAGCTCCATGTGTAAAGGTGATCCCTCCTTGCACTGCAAACTATTGTGCATGTACTCCACCACGGTTTCTCCCAAATACAGAAATCCTGCTATGCCAGTCTACCAAGGGCACCCAGTAAATGTAAACCACTAACATTGTAAACTGAAAGGCAGGCTTCTCCGAAAAATGAATCCGATGGCTACTACTCAAAAAAAGGAAACAAAAATAAGTTTGGTTTCAATTTTAAGTCATGGTTGCATGACTTTGGACAGTATAGGTAAAACATTAGCACCACAAAAAGGCCTGAAGGAAGGTCTGCAAAGAGCTCTCCATACATGCAAACAGGTAAAAAACGGGGCACCAGGGTAGACATAATAGTCAGTGCCATAAAAGAGTTCAGAGCTAATTGATATCTCCACATAGTCTGTTCCCCATTCAGGAAGGGTCTAGCGGGAACCGAGTGTCATTTAAACAATTAAACAAAGTGAAATGTAATCATCATGGATAACAAACTCCCTATAAAAAAAGAAAAGAGGAACAGAGGGAAGGAGTTCACTAAAACATGTTTCCATTAACACAGGATGCAGAGGTCCCAGGGAGAGCCTAAACAAGCCAAAGCACACTGAGGTGCAGTGACACCTGAAACGAAAGCAACCAAACAAGGGCATTGAAGCAGGCGCTCAAAGAGAAAGAGAATATTTAGGTATGGCACTGTTAAGGGGGTGCGTCTTCTACATCCCAGGCAAGTAACCAAGATGATCTATGCACACTGACAGATATGACATGCATAACACCAACATAGGAGGCTATTGTTACTGATGCTAATGGCTACAGAAAGCTACTCAACAAGCTGCAAGACCTAAGGGTCTTTGGGAGTCCCTTTTAGTAGATGAGATTTAATAAAACAAGGTTTCATAAATTAGTCAAGAAAATATCCCAATCATATTTATGATAGTAATAATAGCCCCAATCCTCAAAAAAGGAACGGTTTCTAAACCGCAGGCCTAGACCTGTGTGATTACTCTGTTTTTAACATCCAATAGTGAATATCTTTGATTTGAATATCTGTAATCAGGCTAATGGATAGGCAGCTATCAATGGCCTAAGGGCCTCCACAGTATCTTTGGCCTAACCGTAAACACAAGAGTAGTAGATGTAGAAACTAAATCACACCAATTAGAATAGTTAAGATAAAACTTTCAGGGTCAGGGTACAATCCTGTAGAATAGTCAATGCATTTCAGGGCTCCAAAAACACCTCATTCATCATGGCTTAGTGAAAGAAATCTTGTACGTGAACTACAATCTCTGCAGCCTGAAATTTGTATTGAGTTGTGATAGAAAAGATTCTGGCCAGTTCTAAAAAAAAAAAGAAAAAAGGAGTACCCTGCAAAACACCAAAAACAGTACACTGGAATATGAGGGGGAACATAAGTCAGAGACCAGTGTTTAAGGCTTTTGAAGATACCTTCACATACTCAAAAGGGAGAAAGTATACAGAAACTGGGATTTAGCAAGGGCTGAGCCACGGCCCTGAGGTATTATGTCCCAATATAAAGACCAATAGGCTCAAAAAAGCATTTACAGGCTCACTCAGAGTACAGAGACTGGTAAAATTCAATTTCTCTGCATTCACTGAAGGAAAACACAACGGTCTAGGGGTGGCCCCTGCTGGTGCACCCCCCACGTGCTAACACACCCCCAGAAATTATTAAGGCAGAGAACAGGATTTTATAGAGAGTACCAAAATCCAAATTTTCTGTTCTGCTCACTGAAAGACATAGCAAAGATTGGATGATCTTGACCACTGGGACGTCAACAAGCAGTGGTCCAAAAAAGGGTGGGCAAAAAGGAAACCACCAAGAGCGGAAGGAAACCCAGAAAAAAAAAAAAAAAAAAAAAAACCCACCCCCCACCC